ATACTCGTAGTCGCAGATATGACCACGGACGCATCTACAATATAACGCTACTGAAGGAACAATCGGCTCAATGAAAGAGTGAAAGAATAGACAAAGTAAAACCATGTGAAACATTGAAAAAATATACGAAAAACCATGATGCTGAGACCAAGAAATTTATGTCGCGCTTTATGACACATCCATCTTTTTCCCGCTTTGCGGCTTTGGTCAGAAATATTTGTTCATTCACACGAGGAAATAAGGAGAATCAGAAAAGTCACATGTGTCTGTGCCATTAAAAATTACCAACACATACGTTTGTGCCGTAAATTTTGGCCGGGAGCAAATTATTATTTGCACGATTTAGTGCGAGAATAGGCTCTGTGACCAAAAGCCGTTACGAAGATTTATATACTGCCTTCTCCATTTCATTTCTTTCTTCTTCTCGATTAGCTTCTTAATATTTTTGAGAGACAAAGAAAGAAAAAGCAAAGAGAATCTTTTTAAGAGGCTAAGATGTATAAGAAATATGTGTTACAGAAGGGTTAGTAAAGTTACAGAAGAGTTAGTAAATGCAGTTATTACACATAATCAGGTTATATTGTATATTATCTGGAGGTTTGGATTAATTTTTACTTTTGAAAACAAATATTTTTCTATGAATTTTCTATAGTTAATGAATCTTATAACTACAGAAGTTTAATTGTTCCATAATTGCTATCATTTCTTCCAGTCGCTATTTTAACCTAACTTAGGATTGATATTCTATAAAATCTTTAATATTCAATATGTTAAGGGAGGGTGAGAGAGACAGAGAGAGAGAGAGAGAGAGAGAGAGAGAGAGAGAGAGAGACCTAATAGAATCTATTTCAAATTTTAATTCGATTTTATACTTAAGTTTTTATATTTTTACACATTTTCTGCTTAAATTATATTTACTTTAACAAGTTTTACATATTTCTCAACATATTTTTTTAATAATTGTAAAATTAAAACTTTGTTTAAGCAAAGTTTAATTTTAATTAAGCGAAATGAAATTATGTACGTACGAAAGTTACAAAACATTTTATATAAAATTATTCGTATAACTGTAAATTAATTTTTCTAATAATTAGTCATCGTAAGAGTTGATGCGTTTTGTAAGTTATATTTAGAATAAAAGTGTATGTACAAATAAACACGCTTTCAATTAGACGATAGTGACATTTGTACATATGTTAATTTGATGTCGAGTGAAACGCGGAATAAGTTTGCTCAAGTATTTTATACAATTTACTCGTGTTCGCATTCCTGACAGTATAGTGTCCAATTAAACGTTTGATATAAGGACGGCAAACCCGTGTCGTGTATTTTGACTTTTGTGGTGATGCATGTGTTTTGGCTACGAAACGACGCGACAAAAAAAATTCACTGTGAGACAAAAGTGAAGAGAAGGATCTTGGATGATCCGCGCGTGGAATAGCGAGAATTTTGTGTACAGATACAAAGTGTAAAATTATCATTTAATGATATATACGTTGGATACTATGATCAAGAAGGACTCTTTATAGTGCATAAAATGTCAATCAAAAAGTCTCGTTTACAATGTCTACACTACATTTACATTGTACACAGTACATTGCGATAAATAAACTCTGGCTCTACTTCTTCATTGTTACAATATCTAATAATATTGTTGCTTTACAATTTTAGCGCAAAATAACTAATATCAATATTTTTCTTATTTTTCATGAAATTACATTTTAATGATGACAAAATACAAAGAAAAGTTTATCTCTAACATATTACTGAATAAGTTACATTCCTAAAATGAATTAAGAGTCTCTGGACATATCATGGAAGCCATGAATTGCCGTCGTAAAAGTGTTTGTACTCTACTTAACTGTCTTTATTTAACATAAAATTCGACATATCAACTCGACATATCAACTTGACGTTGTCTCGCTTAATCTTTTTATTAAATT